TAAACTTTCATGGTGAGATATAAAGCTTCGGTTATTTTATATAATCAACGAACACTCAAGTTAAGTGGTGCATCAACCACCACAGCCTGTATTCTTTTTTCTCGTCAGATTAGGAATAATGTCGCGCGGGCCAGATAGAACATTTCAGGGGGCCGCATCTGGCCCGCGGGCCGTAGTTTGCCCATCACTGCCCCAGACCATTGACAACTTGTATGAGACATGGGGTAAAGTGGACCCTTTTAGCTTTTTATTTTTTGAACAAAAATTGTGTAGCATGTTCCTTCATTAATAAAAAGCAGTCTTAAAGATTTTCTTTCTTTAATAAAAATAACATTAATTTTATAAAATTTGGAATCACTACAGGCCCCTAACTTTTCTCCAGGCTTTGCGAAAATCTCCAATTCTGCTCCTCCTGACGGTCCAGATTACTCTCTATTGTGAGCCTGGTTGAACCCATGACACACATGGAAAAAGGCCCCCTTAATGCCCACAGGACAGAAAGAACAATCTAATGGTAATTGTTTTACTGTATCAATTTCGTTATCTGATATTATTATCCATTTTCAAATAACTAAAACAAAAACAGTAGCATTATATACAAAGTATGCCTAAAATATTTATTTTAAATTATTAAAGTTTTATTTAAACAAACAGCAAAAGATGTTACCAAACTATTTGATATTGCTATAGGCAGATTGATTTGCATCATGACTCTAGGAATGTGACCTACAAAGAATCAAAACTTTTTAAATTGCTACACATGAATGGTTTTTCTCAATTCAAATATTCAATTTTAACCATTTTTCATTTTTTAAGGCAAATATTACACTGAAAATATCAATTTTCTCATTGTATTAATAAAAATGTAATAGGAAAACAAATAAAGTAGGAAAGTTTCTATTTTCTGAGAATATGCGTGGTAATGAATTCAAAATGTAACATAAATGTGAATATGTAGGTTAAGTTACAGTAATGTTAGTTTTTATTTTAGAAAGAAAAAAAAATTTTTCTTAAAACCAATGATTTATTTCTTAAAAATAAAACCATTGCCTATTAAGTTCTTTTCTTTAATAACTCTTCCTTCCCTAAAGGCACTAAAACACTCTTTTTTCATGTCTATCTTAACAAATGGAATAACCACATGGAAAGAAATGAAGGTCTGGCAAATTCAGGTCAAACTATCTGTGAAAATTTCTGTGATAATGGCCCAGACTCAAATCTGGATTTATCAGAACAGCAGTCTGATATTTTAGATGTTATAGGTATAAAACAATGACGTCATTTTTCAATATAGTCTCCTTACAGTCCAATATACATATTACATCTTGGAATTAGCATTTTAATACACTTGAAAAATAATCTGCTTATAAACTGCCTCCTACAACTCTTCTTCACTTTTTCAAAGGACTTTTTTGAGTTTTGGAAACAGATAATAATCACTAGGAGTCAGGTCTGGCTGTAGGGTGGCTGGTCAAGCTCCTCGAACCCACACTCCTTCACAGCAGCCTTGGCAATGGCAATGTACACTGGCGCATTGTCCAGCAAGATGCAAGCATGATGTAAATTAATACAAGTCCAACTAAAATGAATCTTTCCAAGCAACTTATACAAATTGGCTGTAAAAATTGTTCTATTAGTCCACATACAGATGGCACTTTCTGATACTATCATTATTTTATTCCTATCATATCTAAAATATAGTTAGACCAGAAACTTTTAGCATCTAATTTGTACTGACAAACTGAATCTATTCTTCATTAAATCTTTTCTATAATGCATTTAAAATTAAATATTTTTAGTTTCAAGAATATTCATTATAAATATTAGCCAGAAACCCATTCATATGCATCTATCTAAGTGAAATCAGCCATGTCAGTGAGATGATCACATTGTAAGACATCATTCTACTGCTATGAGTGATCTGATCTGATTCATGGTTTTTATGATTAGCTTATATTGGGAATTATTTCCATCCTTCATCTGTATGCAAAAACTATGTTGAGGTTCTCTAGTTAAGAACAAAATTGAAATTGACATACAGCCTGTATGTATTAATATTGGTGAAACACAAGACAAACCTCATCCATTCAAGTTACATATATATATTTGTGTGTATGTGTGTGTGTAAGTATTGATAAATTTTAAGTAATCAAGAAATTCAGGAAAATGTACTGTTAATTCAATTAGAAACTTCAGACTAGGAGGCGTTAAAGAGAATTAAAGGAATATTTTAATCTTGCTAGTGCTTTCAACATAAATATATATATTGTCCTCAGGCAATTTGAAATAGAATTGCTATTGCTATTTCAAATTGCCTGAGGATGATTGAGGATGAGGAATTAACACAACTGTTGGCGTGACATCTAATCCAAGTGTTTAATATACCTAACAAAGTGTACATAGTGACTCAGACACCAATTAAGACTTTAAAGCAGTATGTTTCCATAAGATAGTAGAATGTTGCATAGACAAATGTTCTCTGGCTTCTAAATTACTTTGTTCTAAGTATAGCATGAAAAGAAACACAGCTTAAATAAGATCATACTTATTCTGACTCTTTCTGTTTTCACTTCTCATTCTCTTCATCAAGCACTGAATGTGCACACAGTTAACAAATAAATAGTTAGAGATCGATGGCAAATGGGATGGAGAGGCAACTGTCTCACGTGCCAAACTGGAGGGATACTAAAACGGCACCATAATGTTCATAGAAATATAAGTACCTTGGTGCTGTTCTTAGGTTTGCCTCATGTGCCAAATTATTTGGAAAGGTCCTGCAAATAGCACAGATATTCTGCAGGTGCAGCACCAAGTAGACAGAGTTATGTGGGTCAACAGTAAGCATAAAGAGCTGTCACAAAATATTTTCCTACAGTTGGGAAAAGTACCTAAATATTTTTAGGAATTTTGTTGAAAAATTAATGTTCTGTTAGAAATCTTCTTGCATATTTTCAGTATCTGTTTCTAACCTAATTACTGACTTCCTCTCATATTAAAAATTTTTTAAATGACAATTGGTACTGATGTATGTCATATTTGAGACACAAGATCAGATGTTTGGGTCTCCAATTTGGGTGAAATGTGGTGAGCATGAAGCTCACCACATTTCATCCAAATTGGTGTGAAACCCCTCATTCAGAGCTTGAATGAAGGGTTTCACACCACCCCCAGAATTGTTGACCCTTTGCAAGATTTTCACCTTCAAAGATCAGTTTTTAACATGTATCATATACTGCCTAATCTACAGTAGAGCATCGTTTATCCGAATCAATTGGGGACTGGGGTTGTTTGGATAACTTATTTTTTGGATAACCGATTATATACGAAAAAATATATTAACCTAACCCGTGTTGAAATTTTTCTTCGTTGCATGTCGCTTTGCGTTGAATTTTCATCAATGTTAAGCCTAACGTATACTTTTTAAAATAATAATCGTGGCTATTGTATAGTTAAAAATTATTTCTTTATTTCTTACAAACAAAATAAATATATTGAAAAATATAAAAACCAAAAAATATATACTTTAGATGATGATCTAGTGTCAAAAACGTACGATTCAGCACGACGCACAGTCCTCAAAAAAACAGCACACAAATGAGCCAGTGCTGCCAACTAAAAAACACACACCAACAAAAAAATATTGGATTAGCCCAAGATATAACCAAAGATTGCAGTGCCACAGCACTAACGAAAATTTAAATTTGCTGACTGGAATGCTTACTGATAAACGACGCTCTACTGTATATGTTTTGGATGTAGATGTGTGCTTTGGTGACCGGGTGGAGGCAAGCTCTACACCCCCTAAAACCATATAACATCAAGTACTCCACGAACAGTCAAGTGGGCTACTCGAAGCTGGCACAGTTGCATGGACTAAATAGTTAAATACGACAGTCTTAGTGGACGATGGTATTGCATATTGGATTAAAGTTATAACTGACATCCCGTTAACAGAAAAGAACCAAAAATTGTGACATCATTTCTTGTTAAATGAAAAAGAAGTCTCTGTAGATTTAACTTTCTTATGTTGTTAAGTAAAATTTATGCTATCCTACGATGGTGACCCTGCTTAAATTAGTGTGCTTTTAATCAAATATTTTTGTTAACTTATCAGTTTAGTTTGGCATGGCAAATTGTATGGTAGACCTATTTAATTATTTATATGATTTAACTCAAATTTTCCAAACTATGTTGTAATAATTATTAATTGGTTCATAAATTATGGTTTTATTTTATCCTGGGTCCTGAGAATATTCTGCACCACTGCTCATAAGTTGCATTGCACAACATTACTTCTTGCTGCCTGTAGACAGCTACGCGTGGTCAGACATACAGCCAGCAAACAAAATGAACAAGACAGCCAAGGAGACAAATTCCAACTTTCCATGACTTTTTCCAAATACTAATGAAAATTCCTGACTTCCCAGATGGTTAGGAACCCTGTATGTTATCATGCATTTATGGGAAGTGTGCTAAAATGTATTAAAATTTCAGCAAAATCCAGAATGTCAAAGCTTGGATGTCTCTTTGTCAGTTTCTTAGAATTTCAGAGCATACTGCTATTAGAAGTAGAATTTTGTTCAATAGAGAGGTTTTAAGGTCACAAGTAATAAAACACATGCTTGCTCTGCCCCTTTGCCATGTTTATGGTCTAGCTTCCACTTGCATGTTGTTTGTTATGACAGGTTGGCAGTGTTTTTTTTTCTATTTAAACTTAATAGAACTGCAGTATTTTTATATCATGGACAAAGTTAAAAAAGATGCTTTTCTGGTGGGCTATTCTTGCAGTCTGACAGGATGAGATACTGTTTTATAAAAAGAGAAAGTTTCATTATGTCAAAGTGTTGATCCATACAAAGCTAGGGTCTTTGTTGTAGATCAAGAGTTATGGCCTAAAGTAGAATTTGGTGACATCATATACTATTTGGTTTTGACGACAAATTACTACAGTCTTTCACAAATGAAAGTTTACATATCTTTATGGACCATAACAATCTTACAAGTGGCTGGATTTTTCCTGATTATGTACTCTTTCATAACTCTCTTGACATGCAGTTGGGTTATGGCTACTCTCATACCCCATGTATAATGTTGCCATCCAGTCTGGTGATTCATCATACAATGAGGAAGGTTTTCCTTTGGGGTAAAAAAAACTTTCAATAATATATTATTATGACAATTTAATATTAAATTATTATTGTTAATATACAGGGGGTTGCAAAAGTAGGTATACAGTTGTTGTTATGGAAAAAAATTATACAGGGAGAAAGAAGGAAGAAACAACATTTATTTTTATGTACAAATTACATCACAAATAAGGAATACAAACTAATAGAAGATAAAAATAATAATAATAACTCTCCCGTGGTCACCACCTGGTCGTGGTGGGAGAGCCCAGTAATTTTACAGATCCATAGGGCAATGCAGGCTGGACTCTCCCGTGGTCACCACCTGGTCGTGGTGGGAGAGCCCAGTAATTTTACTGATCCATAGGGCAATGCAAGCTGGAGCACAAGCTCCTGGTAGGGACACCCATGCCAGTAAGGTCTATGGGGAGAAATGAAGCTAAGAGTNTTTAAAATTAATTAATTTTATTTCAAACATTTCACAAGCAAGAAAAATGTATAATAAAATATTAAAAAAAGATTTTTTTAATCATAATACAATAGCTTCAGGCATAATGTTTATGCAAGATGCTACAAACAAGTTTAGTGAATGACTCCAGTATAAGGAAAAGTTCAGAAAACTAGAATCTAAAACTATTTTCCTACAAGAAAATAATATTTTATGTTATTTTATCCTTACTTTTAACAGTTAAAATTACTCCTAGTTTTGCTTTTAACAAATTTAGAACTTCTTGATGAATGGCACGTTGAATGGTAAATCCATTCACTCTAATAATTTGATCACCGACCTATAAAACAATTTGATTTTCTTTATAAAATATCCATAAATATTATTGGAAATTATGGAATAAAATCTAAGATCTAAAGAAATTTATTAAAGTCAATGTTCATGAAAGAGTCTACTCTAATACTTAAAACATGTTTAAAGCTATTAAATTAAACTATAATTTACATTAAGCCATATTAAGCATATGGCTTAATTAGTGTAATTATCCTTACCCTTACCCTTAACCCTTGACGATAAGCTTCTGATCCGGGTTGAACTTCGGAAACAAAAATACCCGTACCATGTTCCCAACCTGTAATTTATAAGAAAATAAATTAAAATATATAGTCTATGATCTCTTAGTATCAAAGCTGTTATATGGAGAACCTTCTAAACATTAAAACAAGGGATTAACATTCTTTGAACTTGTGGAAATGTTATGGTCTAAAGTACTTTTAAATTAGACTAGAAGAAATGTAACAAGACATTTAGTGAAGACAATATGCAGCACTCGAAGGCACGCGTCACTGAATGGATACATACTTAAGTCTACTCAGTTTGTGACTTATGTGTATAATCTGGCAAGGTGATTGTGCAGCAAGATCACTCTTGCATTTTATATTCTAAAAATTAACTTTCTATTAAATTTTATAGCAAATTGTTATATTTCCAGTTATAAATACATTGTCTTTATCTCACAACCAAATGATGTTAAGTCACAAAATAAAGACTTAACATGAGAACTTTCAAAAAATGTAATCTTGAAGAGTTCACTCTTATTAAAAATCATGGGTTTTCTATATTGACAATGCCAAAGCAAGATCAATTTATAAACAATAATGCATTAAAAACTCAATTTAAGGTTTAATTAATGCCAATTTTGGAGCTTAATTCTATTGAAAAGAAGGAGAAAATTTGCATAGAAAGCATGTAAAATGCCAATTTCATTGGAAATCCTCTTCATACTTTTTATGGAAAGGCCAATTTATGAGTGTGATCAACCTGTAAACAAGGAAATAAAATAAAATATTCTTACCTCCACGAATGGAAAATCCTAAAGGAGCATTGCCTCTTCTTTTTAGACTAATAACGCGTGAAGGCACATTTAAAAATGAGCTCTCTACATTCTGAAGGATGGGACTGGAATAAAAGAAAAACAGAGATAAACTTAAAAAATAATTGTGCACAACTCTCTAGAACATGTAAACATAATTTTATTAATTATAAAAGAAAGGTTTTGTAGGTTACATTTCAGAAAAAACTCCCTAAAACATAGTTAATATTGTCATTGTCCTTGAAGGTCGTTTAGTACCAAGTATAGTACAGTATATGTGCAGTCAAGCTATGAAAATGGAAGCGGGTAGAACACTTATCTTTCAATTAAATCAAGCATATTTCTTAATGGTCATCTCACTCTACTTCCGCTTTTTCTTTAAACACTCCATCTCTAGAGCAATGTTATCCGGATTTATGGTTTTAGGTTTAATCACCGTTACGCTACAATGCATGACTAGCTAGCGGGTCATTTGGGCATCTAAATATGGCACCACAAATTCTAATTGAAATCTCTTCCAAGTTAGAAATATTCATCAAATTAATCTTTACCAGGAAAACTTTAAAAATTTTCTATATTCAGCCTTCATTTAATTAAAACAGAAAAAAAATTGAGAAGGGATCAACATCAAACAATGAGTTCGTGACGGTCACGACAATGAGAAAATTCATAAATTTCTTATATCAGCGTGCAAAATTTCTAAATTAAAGTAGCAGTAATACATATCAAGTATATTTATAGAAGTATTTTAAATGTATTTAATCGTGTTCGTGAAATTTGTGGCCTTGCAATACGCAAACATCACACCCACTCAACCCTCAAAAGTTCTTGTATGGAGTTGTCACATGATGAAAACAATTTCAATTCATAAATTCATACACTAAGATGTACATTATCACATCTACGTGACAAACTCACCCACCGGAAAAGCGTTTATGCAATTGCAATAAGTACAAAGCGTTAACAGGAAAGGATTATGTTCACGCACTTGCATGCACATCATTTTCCTGGTAGTAAGTTTCACTTTTCCTGTCTCTGATGATCCTTATTTCTTTTTTTTTTTTTTTTCATGCGGAAGATACTGCCTATAATTAATTTATTCATAAATTAAAAATATTTTAAAAAAATCTAATAAATAACCTGAAATTCCGCATCAAAAACTCGTTATTTTATGATGTACGTGATGTGCGGTGGTAACACGTTAAGTAGGCCTTGCACGTCCTTAATTAAAAAAAAACGAAAAGGAGAAAAATGTTATTGTCCGTGGCATAGTTTTCTACATTTAATAAGATTTTCACTAATTTACTTTTGGCTCTGTGAAATGTCAAACGAGACTGCTTTAAGCAATGATAAAACAAGTGCATATAAAACAGAATAATCAACCTATAACACTGTTGATTATTCTGTTTTATATGAATTCCATTTTGTACGAGTCACTTAGATTTTACAAATACATGAGCCATTCACAGCCCAGCACACATATTTATAAAATCTAAGTGACTCGTACAACATGAAATTCATATAAAATGGAATTATTAACAGTGTTATAGGGGGGTCGACTTGTATATTAATAAGCATTGAAGAAACCAGAAATAAAAAGTCGCCATTTCTTCATTTTTTTCTGCACGAATACGATTTTCTAATTATTTTTTCATTTTCGAACATTCTTCTCATTAAATTTTCGTTAATCCTTTTTAATTTCTGCACATATTCTTTTCATTAATTCACTAATTACTTTCAATTTCTGCACGCATTTTCTAACCTACACTTTCAGATTTCACTCTTATTCCTTTCACGCACTTTCTAAATTACTCTTTTGCAAACAATAAAGTAATAAAATACAGCACCAAAAAAAAAGTTAAATAAATATTTACATTGTTCTCTAAACTCCATTTACATAATTGCAAAAGTTTAAATAAATCCATGGAAAAAAGAAATTGGTTCACTTTCGTTTACGAATGTATAAAAATCACTTCCTCGATTTCTTTTTTTAAATCGCCATTAATGTATTTATACCTTTATTGTTTACAAAAGTAATTTAGAAAGTGCGTAAAAACTATAGAAATAATTAGAGAAATAAATACTGTGAAAAATATTCGAAAGAATTCGTTAGAAATTCCTCAAAGGGTTCTCTATCTTTTGATTTAGAGAAATCATTGAAGAAATTTTTAATCCTTCGGGACTTGGATTGATCCCTATTGAAGAATTTCTAATCCTTTAAGATCTGGATTGATCCTGACAAATTTTCTAATCCTTAATAATGTAGAAAAATCACTGTAAAATTCCTAAAAAATTAGAGATTTCACGGAGTGATCCAGATTAATTTTTTAATCCTTAGTGATTCTTAAAGAAATTTCTAATCCTTCCGGACTTGGATTGATCCCGATAAATTTTCTAATTCTTACGAACTTAGGAGGAGTTTAATCACTTGTACTTTCCATGAAATATTTAAAATATATAGAAAAATTATAGAAAGATTATTAAGTTCAACGCAAGGCCTCAAATAAAGGCCCTCCGGGTATCTTTATACATATCAGAGAAGCCTTATAAATAAAGTACTGTATCTCTCGATTTAATCACCAGCGTAAATCCCTTTTCCACGGTAAATAAATACCCGATAACTATAAACAATAGTAATTTACCCGCACCATTTTCCATTTGTATAAATTATAACACGTAAATAAACAATTTAGCATTGTTTTTTGTGTCAAATTCGCGTGTAAAAACTGTATAAAATACATTAAATCCTTTAAAATTTTCTTCTACGAAGCCATAAAGGGGGACGAAACAACAGCTCTTACCCTCATTTCTCAATCCCCTATAATATAAAGGTGTACATTTTTAGAAAGGGAAAAAAACAATACAAAGAAACAAATGTAGGAAGTAAACAGTTAACAATAATATATTTATTATTTAACAACATAAAAACTGGATAATTTAACGGGAAGAGACCGTATAAAAGAAGTTTCTGGGTCTCAATAACGTCTCGAGATATATAATTATCGGGGATGAACTATAGACTTTCTCGCTTCTAGTTCGTGACCGAATTTCGTGACAAGTATATCCTAACTCGTCCTTCTTTAAATGGTCACGACTTGCTTTGGTAAAAAAGAAAAAAAAAACTTGAAGGAGTGGTTAAAAGAAACTCCAGATAATATCTAAATTCCCTTTTCTCACGTTACCTACTCGTTTATAATGGTCCCAAATAGGATCATCGACAGAATTTGATCATATGGGTGGGTTCGTTCTTCGGAGATTTTGGATTGATAACTTATTAGTGACGTATCTAGCGCAATCCAACTTCCTGAAGGATTCGTTTCCTGGTGTAAATCCTATTAATATGTGTCTAGAATGAAAATTTAAAATGTTCGTTAGGTCTTACGCACAAGTAAATTTAAATTTTGGGTTGTTCTGTAGGTCCTATATATGAGTGGCTTGGGATTTTGGACTGTTCTGTAGGTCTTACATATGTGTGGCTTGGGACTTTGGACTGTTTTGTAGGTCCTATATATGAGTGGCTTGGTACTTTGGACTGTTCTGTAGGTCTTACATAGGGATTTTGGACTGTTCTGTAGGTATTACATATGAGTGGATTGGGATTTTGGACTGTTCTGTAGGTCTTACATATGTGTGGTTTGGGATTTTGGACTGTTCTGTAGGTATTACATATGAGTGGATTGGGATTTTGGACTGTTCTGTAGGTATTACATATGAGTGGATTGGGATTTTGGACTGTTCTGTAGGTCCTATATATGAGTGGCTTGGAATTCTGGACTGTTCTGTAGGTCATACATGTGGATTGAAATTTAAAAGTTTTATAGGACTGAAAATATGGATTATTTATAAAAGAATATACCCCATATATATAAGTAAATTAAAAACCTGAACTATTTATATAATACTACAGTATAAATAAACTGAAATTTTGTACTAAAAATAAATATATTGACAATTTGGTTGCATAATATTATACTGTACAGTACTACAATACAGATACTATATATAATATAACTGTTCAGTAATCAAAGCATTTATAAGTAACATTCTGTTATGGATGACTTTCTAGTGATACAGATGACTTATGAGGCAGCCATTATCAAGAAAAGTGAAATATATTCTACTATTATAGTATTATTTCCGCAAGTCCTTCCTTCTCTAACAAGGTCAAAGGTGATTTTATCAAATAGTATTATATTTTTTGCACATTTTTTACGGTTGAAAATCGAAAAGATTGATAGATTTAACTCGCTTCAAATCAAAAATTCCTATAGAATTTTTGCTACCGTAGGAATAATTTATGGTCCTTGATAGACTCATTAGCATATTTTAAGGGGGGGTTATTTATATCCTGTTAGATAAGTGAGTCTGCGGTATATTTAACGGCCCTATCAGATTTTAAACAGGTGTCAAGACCGGATTTTTATATCAGTTTACTAATGCTATAGGAACAAAGTTGTTTATAAACTGTCAACATTTTGTGTGGGTTTTCATTTGCATCCTGTTTACGTGTTTCTAAACTTACGAAAGGTTTAATATGGCACACTTTAATACCACTAAAACAAGTTTTGTTTGGTAATGCTGCTACGGGAATAATCTTCTTTTAATTTATTATATATTTAGCAAACTATTTTCCATTCTATTCACGTCTCTGCCAATTTAACATCGTTTTAAACACAATAGAAGGCTCCTTTAAACACTTGCCGATACTACTATAGTAACAATTTTTATATTTTTTCGCATCTTAATAAAATTGCAATGAGTAAAACTACTTGCTAATGTCTTCGTTTATATCCTGTTGGCATCTTTCAAGTTTTTAGACATGTTTAAGGTAGCATTTTTTTAAAAAACAGGAGGTAGTACCCGAGTTCGGCAAGGTTCATTACTCTATTAGTATGTTTTTTTTACGCAATCAAATTATAACTTCCTTTCGGTGATGAAAAATAATAGGTGGAGTACCATTTCAACATGTAAACACAAACTTACCACCCTTCCTACACTTTCAGAATGAGGGCACAAAAAACGATACTGCTATAATAATAAATTAACAATAGTTCTGAGAGGGTAAATATAGTTACAACAGTCCTGGAAAGGACACGCGTACGGACACGTGTTTTTTTTTCCATTAAAAATACTCAGTCGCTTTTGCCCATGAAGTTCTTGCCATTAAAATAGTAACAATAATTCTAGAGAGCAAAGAATTATGGAAAGAGATACGTGTTATATCCATACGGTCCTTTTTCCATAACATTTCTTACTCCTACAAAAAGTATGGTAATAAAGGATTAGGAAACAAATATAATAATAATAATTAAAACAAATTATACATATAAAGAAACAAGCATTAGGAATACACTAGACGTAAGACGTGTCTATTATAATTATACTTTATATCAGGACGTACCCTCTAAAGGATTTGTTACGCTAGAAGTATCCTGTACGTGTAATAAATCGATACGATTTGTAGTTATAACAACAAGCAAACACAAAAATTATCAATTTTATAATACTTCTACGGTAACAACTATCCTGTAGAATACAAATATACTATAAAAAGAACCCTTGTTGGTGTAGTAGAGAATCTTTGTTACTACAGAAGTATCACTCCTAAAGGCGTAACAAATCGATTATTTTTGTAGTTATCGATTTGATTTGTTTATAATACTTCTATAATATTAACTGTATTGTAGAGTGCGTATATATTAACAACGATTCTAGAAAAGAACAGCAGGAACACTCCGGATACACTTATTGAGGATGATTGTTTACTATAGAAATAACATCCACGTATTGTACGGTACGTGTACATCGATAATATTTGTAATCGTAACGATAAAACAATGATATTTTGCAATATTTCAGAGCGACATTTTTCGTTGTACCGGATGAAACAGCGTAAAATAATTTATGTATATTATAGAAAAATACACATGCTGATTAGTATTTCCGGGTTGGGAATTATCACCTTAGGAATTTATCTCGTCAGCTGTCAAAAATTATCCTGGGGGTACGAAAATTTGAATTGTGCATCAGGTGTCATCGAGAACGTTTATTAGTTTACAACGACGAAAAAACCAAGAAAGAACATTTTTAAATTTACAGAACTTCATTCAAGAACACCAGAAAAAAAATAATAAATAAATAATAAGACGTGAATGAAACCGGATTTTGATACTGTAATTATAAAAAAGATGGGCACGTTGCATTAAAATAGCATGTGGTTCACACTGGGTATGAAAATAGCAAAGATTAAATATGAACAATGACGTTTGTTTCCATGTGTATTGTGACTAATTCGCGTGTTGTAGTGTTTCGTTATTGATTGAATCGACTTGGTTCCTAGAGTGAGTCTTACTGCTGCAATTCGTGTAAAAATTGACATAAATTTAACAATGTCGGAGCTTAAAGTGGATCCGGTTTTTAGTATTATGATACGAAAATTAGTTTTATTTCGGTACAAAATGGATCCAGTTTTTAAATGGCATCTGTAGAAATTGATTTGATTATATATAATTAATGATATAAAATGGATATATTGTTTATCTGTATAGTAAATAGTAGATATACCTAATTATAGTATTATTATGGGTATATGTGGATCAGTTTATGTATAAAAACCGACATATGACATTGGATCTAATCTTTTAGCATGTATATTATATATAAAAATGGGCAAAATTGTAACATAAGATACAAAAATGGAATTAATTTTAGTACATGGACCTGATAGATGATACAAAAAACTGGATCCATACTTCCAGACTTCTGATGGGAGCCATGTGAATATGATACGCCCCGTTTAAGATAAGTGAAGCGCGGAAATAGTTTTCGAGTATTAAAAAAACCAAAAAAAAAATACAACACGGGAGGTATTCTCTAGCTCAAAACACAAAAAAATTCCTGTTACAATGGTAACAACTGTGCAAACTTGCACTTGTAATTGTCTTATAGAATTTCCAGTAGAGAAACAATAGGAAATTCTTTCTGTAACACAATTATTTGTTATATGAAAACATTGGCTCACCTGTCTTGAACAGCGAGATGTTCAGCGTTCGTAGAAAAGCGCACGTGTCCAATGAACCACGAGGTCATTGACATGCTATGTCACGTTTCATTTGTCACCTTGTAAAATCTAAAATAGCAATACCCTACACGAGACGATCAAAATATTAGCATGATCAAGGTAAGTATGCGCTCGTATATCGAACCCAACACATAATACACACGTGTTGCAGTACTCGTTGCATACCTACTGCATAACATCTCACCTGTAGACAGGTGCATAACAGGACGTGACACTTCCTGCGGATTTAAGCCCTATTGATTCATTAGCAATATACAAAAATTTTTTTCGGGTTTAAAGCTCGCTTTGTTTATATTCGAAGCTTGAATCGCCCATTAAAAACCATGAGAAATTTATGAATAAACTCACCCAATTTCAGGTTTCATGTCGGATTTTACACAGAGACGTGTCTAACCACTCTCGCCGCATACCTAGCTCGACTGGTCACATGCACTAGTGTGGTGGCTTCTCTAAACTAGCGATAGAGGGCAGAAGTGAGGCGTAACCATGTATATATCAAGCGTAACAATGCCAGTTACGCGACTTAGTAGGCGTTTGTCAAGACGGGTGAATGGATGGAAATTAGAATTTTTCATGATAAATATTTAGGTCTTGCCGTATTTTGAACTTGAATTCTTCGTTTTAAAATAGGCTAGTATACTCCAAATGATCGAAAGTAATTCGCGTGATTAGCCGGATCGTGTTCGTGTTACTGCTATAAATCGCATTGTAGTGGATTAGTGAGAGTCGAGTGCGTGATTCTTAGATTAGAACTGTATAATCTATACATTAATTAAGTTATTACTGTACGGTACTGGTTGATAAGTGCATTATAATGTACAGTGTTCACTTTTTTTTTACCTTTTTGAGTATTGTAGAGTGGTAGACAACCGAGACGATGAACTTGATTTATGGATTAGAGGATAAGTGGATGGAAATTTGAACAAAAAGATTGTTTTTCTATTCAAATTTGTAGTGTGGAAGTTTACAGGTAGTTATATCAGAGTGTAAATACAGGAAACTTGACCCAATTTGTTAAAATATAGGTATGAAACGTGTTTACAGTTTAATCATCAATTTTAATTCTGTAGCAAGATCAGAAATTACAACTAAATAAAGTTTAATTCTACGGAACAGTAACTCCAGGTCAAATCTATCAAGTCATTAATGAAATATACTAATCCGGAATGAGCTTTCTTGTGAGTAAATTCTACAAATTCTACTTTTCTTGGACAGATTTTACAGATAACAAATGATGCATAACCAATTAACTTCCAGAAAAAATGAGAAAAAAACAAAAAAAAACCATTACACTAATGATAGCATTAAATAAAACTACATTGAAGCTAATTAAATTTGGCATGTACATTAAATAATCTTTTAATGATAGATTTAATGTTTTTCAAAGAATTTAAAATAATTGGACATTCGTAAAGAATTTAATTACGAAAAACATCAAAAGTATTGTATTGTTTGACGATAAATGTCATTAAAAATTCAAGCTGTGCAGAAATATTTATTTGCTTATAAAACACCCCCCTGCTTCACGAAGGGCACAAAAAGTGGCCTATTAGTGCCTGTAGGGAGGATTTGTTATTGGGCCAGAAATGGGGCCCGACATATCCAGGACTGATGGGTTACAATTTCGTAATCTTTCATAATCTGTGTTATACATATACATTCATTATTATTAGCTACAGACACTAATAGGGCCGTCTTTTGTGCCCTTCATGAACTTGAGTGGTGATGATGGGCCCAACTTAACAGGATCAAATCACCTATTGACTCTAAATTAAATTGGATCCTTGGAGTATGCAATTTCCTTCTCCTTGTCAATTAATTAATGATATTATGAAATATGTAAATTCTGTGTAATATAAAACAGGAATCCAGAACATACAAANATAAATGTAACTAAATAACACTGAAGAATGGATACCTAGGATTGTATTACATTAAAATTATAAATGATCAATCATTGACAAGGTTTTTATAACTGCTTATAAATAAATACATAATAAACAAATTTTTTACTGTTATTAATTTATTATATAATCAAAGAAAAACATTTTCTTCTTTCGTTTGTAAAAGTAAGTATTGATTTTAACGTGAATTAACAACTTACATTATGTTAATTTACATTAAAATTATTAGATTGTATTGAATTTTCATGTCTTTTTGAAACGTATTTAGCAATTTAAACTATTTTAAATAGATTTTTTGCTCATTTGAACAGTTTCTGATGTTCATTCTCCTGTTAATCTTATGGCATAAATTTTCTATCCATGTTTAAAAATAGATTTCATATATATATATGGTATTTATATTTTATTTTGTATTTATGATTACTCACAACTAATTGTATGCTTCCACATTTATGACCATATTTACATATTAATATATTTAATTCTTCTTACATATTATCATATATAATAAGAATGATAAAACACTTTTTTTTATATAAAATGTGATATACATTATCGGTATTTACATGTAATTAAAAGTCGCTATCGCTACACACATCAAGAAAAACATCAAATGCCTCTCTGTTGCAATTGCCATCTTGAGTAAAAACGTATTTGTGAAACGTTCCATCCACACATATTGCTGAAAAAATTTAAATTTCTAATTTCCGTATATATTTAAAATATTTTAAAATTGTAATTCTTTATTTTGTGAAAGAAACAGACTAAAAATTGTCTTACCGTAAACCGAATATTTTGATCCAAAGGCACATATGCATGCACATTCAGCGGCAACTGTGAAATTAGCCAAAGCCCACTGAGAATCAACGTACTGACCCAGGAAACCCATTTTTGAAAATCTGGAATAAATTATTTTATGTTACAGTAATACCCCTTATATATATATATATAAACATACAATAAATTAAATTAAAATATTTATATTTTATGGAATATTAACTATATACTGTGAACTCTCATGCAATGCTTACAAAATTATAAAAACATATTACATCACATCTTATTTTTGTAAGATGTAATATGAAAACTACATTCTAATGTTTCAAAATGTAGAATAACAAACAAAATTTTAAAATTTAAAAGTAAATTAATATTTTGAAAATTTAAGATACTTGGCTTAAATTATAGTAGTAATAATAATTATATAATATACAACAATCATGCTAAGTTGGTAAGATGCTAGTTGTATTGGAAATTGGTGTATATTTGTGACATATTTACTTATTTAAATTCAGGTCAAGAAAATTTTTTTTTACATTATTAATCCCTGGCTGAAAAAGTTTGAGGAAGAATGGTAAATGCAAAATGTAATTTATTTTACTTACGTAGAACGACGATTTAGTTTTGTATCTTTCAAAGCAAATATGTGGATTGTTCCTTTGTCACTTGAAACGCAAAGAAATTCTGAATTGTGACTAAAATTAATGCTAAAAATAAAGAATTAAATTTCTATTAGAGTAAATCAAATGTTAATATATATATATAATTAAATTAAAACTTAAAAATTAGTACCAATATAATGTAGCAGGATCTGCCCCTCTTCTCAATTCCACAAGTTGAATTCGTTTCATTGTATCAAAAACTCTTATTAATGTTCCCTACATAAAAATTAAAAATATAAATACTGAAATTTATATATAAGAATATTAAATTCTTCACACTTTATCACAATAGAAATAAATTACGTCCATGTAAATCACTTAACAATAACCCAATAATTACTTTTTTTGATGCCGTAGCCACCATTGTTCCTTGCTGATTAATTGCTATACATGCAATTTCTGCTTGATGAGCACTTATAGTCACAGGGGCACTTGACATTCCAGGTTCAGTTGTAGTTAAGTCCTACACAAAACAATTTAAAAGAATTATTATTGTTATATATAAAAAATTTCATTTTTAAAAAATAAAATAAAAGATGTAATATTAAATACTTTGCAACTCAAATGTCACGACCAAATTTTTTATAAATTTAATATACTGTATGACTTAATTCAAAAATAACCCAATTACAATTTTAAATGTACTTTTAGAAGTCAAATAAGTTTACATTTTTTAACTTAGAATTCATTTCTGAACTTCCAAACTTTAAATCAATAGAACAGTAGTTCATTTTATAAATCAGTGTCAAACTGAATTTTTATAATCTTGATTATCTGATCTAAATGGAAACAGCAGTAGGTCAGACAATAAAAAAATTTGTATAATACAGAATCATGTATACTAAGAACTTTCGGAAACTGATTGATAGAATAGGCTCCGTAATTAAGAAAAAATTTAGAAACATCTCCATTTATTCAGTTTAGAATTGTATTCTGCTTAACACTTGCATACAACTCTAAATTGGACTAAAAGAATTTTTTAAATGTCTGGCAAAGACAAAAGAGTAAAAAGAATATAAATGTAACTAAATAACACTGAAGAATGGATACCTAGGATTGTATTACATTAAAATTATAAATGATCAATCATTGACAAGGTTTTTATAACTGCTTATAAATAAATACATAATAAACAAATTTTTTACTGTTATTANCCTAGGATTGTATTACATTAAAATTATAAATGATCAATCATTGACAAGGTTTTTATAACTGCTTATAAATAAATACATAATAAACAAATTTTTTACTGTTATTAATTTATTATATAATCAAAGAAAAACATTTTCTTCTTTCGTTTGTAAAAGTAAGTATTGATTTTAACGTGAATTAACAACTTACATTATGTTAATTTACATTAAAATTATTAGATTGTATTGAATTTTCATGTCTTTTTGAAACGTATTTAGCAATTTAAACTATTTTAAATAGATTTTTTGCTCATTTGAACAGTTTCTGATGAATTTAACGGGAAGAGACCGTATAAAAGAAGTTTTTGTAAAACCACCTGAAAGGCATGGCTTATTTTAAAAATAAAAAGAATATTTTTCTGCTCTGAGTTTCCTTGGTTCTTTGTCTCTGATAAAAGGCAGTTAAGGAGTAAAACAAACCAACAATTTTAAGGTTTTAGTTATTATTGTTTTCGTAAAAATTTAAGTTTTAATATCTTTTTATAATTCTTTAAGTATACAAGTACAGTCTNCTGTTATTAATTTATTATATAATCAAAGAAAAACATTTTCTTCTTTCGTTTGTAAAAGTAAGTATTGATTTTAACGTGAATTAACAACTTACATTATGTTAATTTACATTAAAATTATTAGATTGTATTGAATTTTCATGTCTTTTTGAAACGTATTTAGCAATTTAAACTATTTTAAATAGATTTTTTGCTCATTTGAACAGTTTCTGATGTTCATTCTCCTGTTAATCTTATGGCATAAATTTTCTATCCATGTTTAAAAATAGATTTCATATATATATATGGTATTTATATTTTATTTTGTATTTATGATTACTCACAACTAATTGTATGCTTCCACATTTATGACCAGGAAATACAAGTAACTGACGTTCTGCACTTGCAAATGGACTGACTTCACAAAGACCTAAAATTAATTAATATTTTATTCAAGTAAACATATATTCTATAAAAATAAATAGTCTATAATACATATATGTATACATAATTCTATTTCTAATATTGAAAAGTAATCGTAAACAGATTAAGAAGTGTTCTGGAATTTAGTATTAAACAAATAGTTTAATGCTAAGTAAATATATACTAACTTTACTACAAAAAAAATCTCTTCTGAGTTAATAGCATGAAAAAGTAAAACATTTCTTTACAACAAATCTGCTGGTTTAAATTGCTATGTCAGTATAGTTATGCCATCTTATTTTTAGTAAATTTTTGCTGGTTATAAGTATTTTCAGTTTACTTTTAGACCAGGGATCAGCAACCTATGGCATGTGGGACAATTTTCAATGGCACTCTGATTGAATAGAAATGTAATAAAAATTAAATTTAAATTTTTGAAGGACATTATAACCAGACCAATTTTGATACTAAATATAAGAAAATTGGTAAAATCTTGTCAATACACAGAATAACATTTTAACTCAGGTTTGGCATAACAACACCACTGAAAGGTTGCCAACCTGTGCTCTAGACCATCTTCAAGTTCTCTATCTTTAAAAACTTTTATCCGTAAGTTTCTTGTGTAGCATTTTTAACATTTTCTAAGGAATCATTTATCTCCTGCTTAATATGACATTATCACATATAAACTTAAATTAAAATTACAGTAGAACTTGGTTAACTCAAACTGGGATAACTCAAAGTCATTTTCTTTCTACACTCATCTAGCATAGGAATTTAAAGGTTAAATCTAACTGGTTAACTTTAATTCCTCAAAACTTTTTAACTCAAAGTTCAAATCTTTTTCCCAATCAATTCAAGTTAACCAGGTTCCACTGTATTTCATATCTACTTAACTGATAATCATATCCTTTCATGTCTCTCCTTAAAATATTTTTCAACATAAAATATTTCACATTGACATTGACTATAAAGCAAAACTAATAAAAGACTATCAGTTAAATGTATATGACAGTAAAGATGAAATATTAAGTAATCAAACATCTTTACAATACCCGATACGATTAAAGCTATCCATCTACCAAAGCCGAATATTATTGGGCTAGAAATGGCTATAATATTAATAATTTAATAGACAATTTGGCACTTGAATCATGAAATGCCAAGTTTTTAATTTAAATATCAATTTAATATACATTACAATTGTTATTACATTACAGTATTTCATTTTAACAAGTTACAACCATTTATTACATTGAATTTGGCTTTCTCAATCTAGTAACAATAATAAATTTAATATATGAAATGAAAAGAAGTAAGCTTTAATATTGTTATGTCTATAGTTATATTATAAATTATTTAAGATTTGCATTAAAAACAAGCTGTGAATAATTTAGCAATTTTGTTTGATTCATTTGATATATTTGGATTTGACTTTTTTTTTTACAAATTAGAAAAACATTTGCAAATGTCACCAAAGTTTAACTTTTATATAACAACACTTTTACTGGTAAATTTTCTTTGTGACTTCCAGCATAAAATTAAAACAAATTCCTAATAGAAACACAAAATGATAAAACTTAATTAAATTGCTTTATATTTAGGGTTGGCTTACGTAAATTTTATGAAATAACTAAACAAAAAATTATAATGTTTGATATGACTAATACCTCATACCATTAAAATTTTACAGCCACTTTCTAAATGAGAATATCAAAATAATGAAATGGCAGCACTATTATCAAAGAGCCACATTTATTTTTAAAAATTCCATGTTTAAAATTGTTCACAATAAGAATTTCAGCTGGATGCTAAGTCCAAGCTTTCTTCAATTGTTATTATATATATATATATATATAATGTATTAAAACTCATCAGTATAATGACTTAATTCTTTACATTACACAAATTTATGCACAATACATTTGGTTATAAAGTGGCTGCAGAATTTAATGATGTGATATTTTAGTCATATTGAACATTATAACTTTTCATTTAGTTACTTTACAATTTCTGAGTTAATTATATTATTTAACATGATAATAATAAAGTGATTTATCTTTTTAAAAATTAAATAAATCACCAGAGAAATATCCAAAAAATAATATAAAACAAAATATGAATAAAATGGAAAACACTACACACATAAATCCTAACTTAAATTCACTAAAATTTTATTTAGGAAAGAATTTTTATGCCAAATAAATGTTATATAATAAGTAAAAATGGAAAATGATTTACAATAACAGTTTATATATGGAAATATGTTAAAAACTATTTTTATTAATACTATTAATGTTAATAAGTACTAAATATATAAATATTGTATATATTTGTGTGTGCTAGCAGAGCATCGTGAAGATATTAATTACAAATGGGAGATGTACAACAGAGCTAGCCAAACTAGTGATGAAATATAACTTTGATCCTTTTGATCACAAGTTTTGTTGGTAAAACACTGTGGGGATAGGAGAATCTTGTTCATTTAGGAGTCTGTTTATTACATCAATGTGCAACTCTCCCACACTTGATATTCCAGTGCTATGGGTTGCACTGTTCAACTTGCTAAAATTGTAGGCCATGCAGTTATGTGACAGGAACATACTGGTGACAAGGGGCTCCAATGTTTACATTTTGTTTAAATTTTCTTTATATTCTTATCAATTATTTATGTGTACGTGGTGTGTTCAAAAAGTATCGGACCTTTGGTCAGCAAAAATAAATTTATTGACTTTGAGGTACAAAACCCTAATCTCCTTCAAAGTGGTCTCCTTGGTAATGTATACACTTCTCCCAGCATTCCTGCCATTGCTGGAAACACTGCTGGAACGCATCTTTTGGAATGGCCATCAGCCGGTCCGTCGCATTCCGCACGATGTCTTCTCGCGACTAAATTTGGGTTCCTTTTAGCGGCATTTTCAGCTTGGGAAATAGCCAAAGGTCACACAGAGCCATGTGGGGAGAGTACAGAGCGTGACGAACCACAGGAGTGTTGTGTTTGGCGACGAAAGCCTGAATCAGATGCGCAGAATGGGCGGATGCGTTATCACGATGGAGCTGCCAAGTTTTGATTGACCACAGATCCGGTCGTTTGCGTCTCACTGTATCGGAAAGACGACGAAGGACCTCCTGGTAGTACTCCTTTGCGATGGTTTGGCCTTGTGGTGCGTACTCATGACACACCACTCCATGAGAGTCGAAAAAACTGTCAACATGACCTTTGATATTGCTGCAGACCTGCCGCTCTTTTTTTGGCCTCGAGGATTGTCCCTGAAAGCCTGCTGAATCTTGCAAATGGTTTATGCTTGGGTATTGCCAAGGTTTTTGGCAAAATTTGATGTAATATCGCTGCTCACGTTGTTCAGTCATTTTCCAGCTTAGTGGAATCCGATGAGAGCACACTACATGACCTCACTCATAGGCCAATTGCCAATGACTGATGCTTCCTGAAGGCAGGAAAAAATTCAGGGCTGCGCATGACTGTCCCCTCCACAACTCCACCGAAGGAGGCCTCTCGCGCATCGTTGGTTTACACAGAAAAAAAAAGGTCCGATACTTTTTGAACAGACCACGTATATTAATTCTGTTATTTTTTGTTAACTATTGCCATCGTATATTATGTTTATTTTGTAATGGTGTATAATTTTGTATTCTGAAATTTTTATATTCCTTGCTTGTGAGCAAAGAGCAATTTGAAAATGTGTTTTATCTCTAGATTTATAGCATTCCATCCACCATATTACTTGAAGAAGGTTATATACTGTTGAAAGAGTTCATACTTGTTAATTAAATGTATTTACCAGTAACACCAATAGACAGTTTTTATATTTTCATTTATATGAAATAATTTCATTTATCATTTATAAAATTTGTATCTAATTTTAAATTTCAGAGTTTATAACAAATTTTAATTACTTAATTATTAATTAAGTAATTTATTTTACAATATTAAATTAAAAACTATTCATTTTCACTTACCATTTGGATTTTCTCTTGTATCAAATGTAAATAACTTTGATGGATTGTTTGGAAAGCTAAAAATGTGTATCTGGTGTTTTAATACTACAATTAATCTGCAAAAAGAACATTTTAAAATAAAAATTTTGTATTTCAAATAATGAAGATATGAAAACAAAATTTATAAAATGACAAAAATAGTGTAAGATAGCAGAAATTCCTATATTAGAAATAGTCTTTAATAATAACATTTCGCGAATTACGCAACAATTGCTGTTCTTAGCTACCTGAGAAAATCTCCCGTTACATTTTCTCAAAAGCAACATGACGCTTTCTCGTGAACTATTAACCTCTGCACGGCCGAAATCGCCCGTGAATATCACCAGAGACGGCCGAAAAGAGTCAGTCGCCGCCGTTCCTCTGGATAGAAGTCGTCAGATAGCAACCGGACTTTTTTTTGTGCCTCCTATTTGGATTATTTGCAACAGGATTTATTAAGTGCCAAAGAAACTTGAACGAACATCGTTGCTAGAACTTTGGATTAAGTCAAGAACTTGATTATCAATTATCAGCTATTCAAGAATCAACCAAACTTTAGGTATTTATCACCCCGCGAATCGTATGTGAACTCTCTCTCTCCGCGACAACACTTTATCCAATAGATTTTTAAATAAACCATTGTTAATTGTTAAGTGTATCTGAGTCACTTCCAATGTTGTCTCTCGAA